GGAGTAAAAGAAAGCAGCAGAAGACCTTGGAGGAGTTAGAGCAGAGTGCAGGCAGCTGAAACGGGGACATCTGCTCTGGGGCTGAAGCCATCATCTCTTTTAAAAGAGGAATCCCCCAAGCCCGCATCCCTGCAGTGGTCCGACCGGGTGCCTCGGGCAGCGGCGGGCGCTGGCATCCCCCCTGTTCCCACCGGGGCTGGGTTTTTACCTGGCTGGGGTGGAAGCCATCGACTGGTTCGATCAGCTGCCAGGGCTCACCTCCCATCTTGTGCCACTCCTCGGCTGCTGTGAACAACATAAGCAGAGGGGTTATCACCGGTGAGCACGTAGGCGCCCGCCCGGAGATGTACCCCCCTCCTCCTCAAAGCACCACCGGTATTTTTAAGCACACGATGGCTCTGCATGAAGATTATGGTAATTCATGTAAAGTTGTCAGAGCCAATATTGTGTACAATCCCCTCTCCTTGGGGCAGTATTTAAGCCTTTATTGTTAATTTTTTTTCCTCTGCAATATTTATGCAAGCAAGCGCTTTGAACATAAATGATCGTAAACCAATTCACTTTCCCTCCCAACTAAGACGGATGCTGTAGCAAGTAAGGCTGTAAATTATTTAATACTGATTTAATACTTTTGCATTTCCCATTTTAGTTGCATCTTCAGCAATGCATAAAAATAAAAAAGATAAAGAAAACAGTGCTTTTTGGAGAAAAAGATGGTAACACAATATTCGCGTGGGCTGACGTCTGCAGGAATAGACTGTCATTTTCAGTTACTTCTCTTCTGAGCGGTCTTTTTCAACTCCAACGAAATAACCTTTTGAATTACATAAGCATGACATTCAATGCAAATGATGCTGTGCTGTCAGCCCCAGAGCCATTAGAGAAGTAAAAAGCTTTCTCTCTTCAAAAGGGCTGTGGAGTGATCAAACTTGGGACTAGTGGATATGGCATTAACAGACTGTAAATTCAATAATTTCTTTTATAATGACAGATTAAGAATTCTTAATAGCATTATGCAGGCATCCTGTCAGGAAGAAAATGTTCTCCGTTCAAGCACAACAGTTCTGATCTAGACTCACCACTGTTGGCCCTGGCTATTGTGTCAGAAAGTGATGTCTGCGTCCCCATACTAACGCTGAAGGGCGAATATTCCCGCTTTGACTATAGAAACCTGCTTAAGATGCTTTAGTCAACACCCAAAGTAACCTGTTTTTAAGACGCAGGGTTTGGAACTTTGTTTCAAATTTGCAATGTGTTGGGCACAACGCGTATTCACCTTAGGTTACACCACAGAACGCACATATAGACGCTCAGAGTAAGCTTGCCTAACCCCTTATATATGATGTTACACATCGAGTACGAGGCTGTGTGTTGTGTTTTACTTTGCAGAGGGACTACTGTTCCAGTGCCAGAAATAGCAGAGGAGTAAGATAAGCAAGGTTTATATCAAGATAGGTGAATTTAGACCATTATCCTTGACCTCCAAAAATCCTAGAGCAGTTGAACAAATCTGCCCCCCACCCCGAGTATGTCTAGAATTTGTCTTAAAAGTGCCTATTGCCTTGGCTAGGCTAGACTAGAGCTTGCTCCCATCCGCACCAAGAAAAAGCCAAAACAAGCAACCCCTATCCCCCTATTTATTGCACCACTTCTTAAAGGAACCATTAAGCTGTTCAGCCAAAGGCAAAATCTGAGCTTGAATGTCCATCTAAATCTAGAATCAATGCTCAATTTGAGTATACTCAAATTTTACTCCAAGAAAGCTGGGAGCTGCGATGTATATATATGCCCAGGCCAGCCTGAAATCAATGTACTCATCACAGTGTGCAACCACTGCTAAATATTTGATGTCTGGAGAGTTTAGGGGAGGATTTGTGCTTGCTTCAGAAAGAGACCAGAAAAGTAGGTCAGCAGCCTTAGCTGGCTTTTGAGCACACTCACGAACTGACAGCTTTCCTGACGGGAAGCTCGAATCGTTGGCTCCAGGGCTGCAGGAAACTTTGCAAAGTGTCTTTCAGAGCTGATGTTTGTATGTGCATGTGTGATTTTGTTTATCTCATTTATTTAACACTATGTAATCAAGAACAGCAAATTATATTAAGTTGTTTCTTTTCGTGAAAGCAAATAAATTACCTAAAGTTAGTCATTTAACTTATTAAAGTAATTTGCCTACCCAGCAGGTAGTTTGTTCCAAATCCTAATGACATGTTAAATATTAAGTAGCTGAGGCAAAAGCCGCAAAGAGACTTGGACATCCTGAAACTCTGTGCTACAATATCGAACTTGACAGTAGAGCCCTCCTCTCTGAGATAAAGCTTTTGACAGAAAGACTCCCTCTCCCATCCTCCCTTCTTTACCTCCTCCTCCGTATGGTCTGCATGAGACCCAGAACCAGCTTCCTGAATTGGGTCACGTAGGATAAAATAAGTTTGTGAATTTTGATAGGATTTGGCTGCAGATGAGATTTTTGCAATAATCTTAGGTGCCTCGGCAGCTTCGTGCTTCCAAGGAAGATGGGGAGAGGTGTTAGAGATGTACACTTTGAAGTATTGCCAGGGTGCTTCTGTCCCTTCACGGCTCCGGTTTTAGCTGTCTGCATGCTGGGATCTAAAATATAGTCCCCAGGCAAGAATTTTCAAGAAGGACCAACATGGAACTACCTCTCTATGTGAATATAAAAACAAGGAAATGCAGATCAGGATTTTTTCCCAATTATTATTATATAGTGGAAATATATATATTGCCAATTATATATTATATTTTTGCAACCTAAAAATTCATGCTACCGGGGAGGGCCCCTGTATTGCCAGGGCTGGAGCTCCTGCCCCATGAATGGAGGCTGAGGGACAGGCATGGTCCACCCTGGGGAAGAGCCTACGGGGAGGCGATGAGGATGGGGCCAGTCTCTCCATAGCAGTGTGCAATGGGAGGGGGAAAAACAACGGGCAGAGGTTGAAACATGGGAAGTTCAGGCTGCATACAGGGAAAAAAGCTATTTTCTTACTTTCCCATCACTATCTAACTACTTGAATATGTCACCCCCCTCAATCCCTAACCCCATGCTGACTCTTTTTTTAAAAAGAAAGAGTGAGTGTGTGCGACGGAGCTGGGCTGATGCTGGGTGATGCCTCAAGCTGGACCCACGCACATCTCGCGAGGGAAGGAGAGCTGAGAGGGATCCAGGGTCAGGTGTCTGTCTCCAGCCCCAAGGACACTGTCCACTCATGCTCACGGTAACGAGGAAAAGTTTCTAGTTCTTTTCTTTTTTTTTTCAATGTCAGTTGCAGAAGGCAGTGATTTAGGTAATGCGCTTACCTAATGTCACTTAAGATCACAGAAGGACAAGTTTTGTAAGCTCGTCAAGTCAAAAGTTACAGTAGTATGTAGGTGCTTAAGGAAGCATAGGAAAGAAGCCAGTTCCTCCTGGGAGAGGTGCATCTACTTTTGAAAACAGTGAGTTAAAAGAGGGTGGCTGGGTTATTCAGACAGGAAAACTAGCTGAAGGAAGTTCTGCTTCCTGAGGCACTGCTCATCCCAGCGGAGGCAATGTGAAGCCCAGTGATGTAGTACACTACAGCTCATGAAGACCACCTTCACCACTGCAGATATGCCATCTCCAGCCTAGATGACCCCCTATGAAAGCAATGATGAAAAATAAAACCAAATCTTATGGACTGAGATAGGTTTGAGATTTCTTTTTTTCTGCATCAGCCTGAGAAGCTGCAGTGGACAAGCAGGAGGCATTTTTAGCAGAGGCTCATCTGCTGTCCTTGTCGCCTCGCTATCAACACCTCCTGCCACCCAAGTGCAAACGGCCACTGTGCTGTGCACTGGGATGATGGGTGCCAGCAGCAGGGAGGTTGTGGCCCCCAGGCTGGTGATGGGGTCTCATCTCGGCAGAGGTCCACAGTTACCCCAACCAGGGAAGCGGGAAGATGGCATTAAGGATGCCCCCTTGGCCCCAGCCCTGCCGGCAGGGTCACCTCGGCTGGCAGGCTATGCTGCCCTTCTCCCAGTACAGAGCTAAAATATGAGGAGCATATTAGCAGCCCAGCACTTCACTAAATGCTTCATGAGAAAGACAGGAAAAAAGCAACTTACTTTGTCTCAGTGGGAAATCCATGTAGAAAATATCAAAGTTGGCAAATTTCTCAGATCTCGCTATTTCTTTCAGGACATTGGAAAGTTGTAAAGCTCTCTGCAAAAATCAAGCGATTTAATGACGATTCATTGCAACTCACGCTGCTTTGCATGGATTCAGCTTTTGTCACCAATGCGGGGACAGGAATTTGAAAGCTAATGTTGCCCTTTAGCTGAGGGAAAGGAGGTGAAATGGGGTTCTTCATCATAACAGAGACTTGTGTGAGCACCGCCAGCCTTTGGGCTACCCAGCTCACCATGCAATACGTCACTGCAGGTTGCACTGAGGCCTCAACTGATGTCATAAGCTTAATACAGCATATGATTATTTTACTGGAGACCTCTTTTAGTAGTATCTCTACGTCTATATAAATATCCTGAATTTCTCTGTTTCAGAGGCCTTTTGATCAGTGGCAGCCCAGTCATTTTCATTCCTCTTAAAGAAAACTGACATTCTACAGGAAAAATGTTCTCCTTTCCCATTATCCTTCCCGCTACTGTATTGTGGGTGCTAACACTTATCTATCCAGACCAAATTCTGCCCTTACTTTCAGCAGAGTAAATTACCTCCATTGAGCCTCTACGTAACTGATATATCCAGTGTGATTTCTACAGCCGTAACAGAGATCAGGATCTTCTAAATATTTAAACTGTGCAGTTTGAATAATAACATAGACAATTAGTTTCAGACAGGGGCTCAGAAAGAAGACTAATTCATACCCTGCAGACATATGAATTGTTCATGGACAGAAGTTACGTGTACTGTGTGTTCTGTATTGTTGGTATGGATGTATAAGCTGCAATCCTGCAAAGATTTAGGAATGTGCTTAAGTGCCTTTTCTGAAGTCAAGAGGGACAGGACATAAAATGAAACACATATGTAAGCCTTGGTGAAATTAAGGCCATATTTTTTGTTTAGTGAATGCAAACATTAATACAACTATACACAGAGATGACACCTTTGACGATATTTGGCTACTGGCTCTTTTACATGGCTGCAGGCGGGTGCTGGCATTAAAAATCAGCTTGTACCATAAGGGAATAAGTGGCTGATATTATGTGACATTCACTGCTGCAGCCAGATTTTTAGGGTGAGTTCTAAGACATCTCTTTTCTGTCTTCCCATTCCTGCACTGAGCCTCGATGCTCCTTTGTCACACCATCTGGCGATTAAGTGCACAGAAATGTGTCTGAGGAAGATTAGCACAAATCCCAAATGAAGACAGCGTAAGGCTCTTGCTCTCGGGGCCTCCTCTCCTACTGCCAGTGAAATCTATGCAGCTGGCTTTTCATACTCACAGCTACTTGATTCACAAGCCTTTTCTTTCTTATCAGGTACATTTTCTCCTTAAAGAACATGAACCTGAACAGTTTTGTCTCAGGGAGATCGCACCCCTTGAGAATAAATTTGGGCAGCTGAGAGGTTGGAAAGGGATTACATTTACGAATCCCTTAACTTAACCATGCTGCCTCCCAGAGCCTGAGAGACGTTTGAAAGGATGGGTACGGATGTTCCCGCATCTTCTCCCCGCCTTTGGAAGGAAAAAGTGTGCGACGTCTTGCCTTTGAGATATTAAGCTTATATCCTCAGACGCAGGGACAGACGGGACGAACG